TTTTCATTGTAAAATGGGTGGAGATTTACACAGAGCAAGCTTCTATGTAATAAGTCATATAAGTTTATGTCATGCTATTGACTGCAGTCCCCACGATGGGACACCTTGTCCCACTTCCTCCCTGTGCTTCCTGTGTCCGTTCCTCTCCTTTCCTAGCTTTTCTGAGCTGTGTCCCTGGAAATGGTGCTTTTTTTGATCTTTAGTGACTGATTATGCTAAACTGTGCATACTTCACTAGTCTCATCCTTCCCCCAATACATTTGCCCATTGTTGTAAAATTGAAAATAGGGCTTAGAGGAAGGGAGGGTGCCTTAAGCCTCTAGAGCTGCTGTAACAGAAGTGCCACAAGTGCATGACTTCAAGACTTCCTAAACGATCTCACAGTTTAGGGAGCTAGTTGTTTGAATCCAGGTGCCAGCCCAAGGGAGACTTTCTCTCTGTAGATTCTGGAGGGAAATCTTCGCTCGTAGCTTCCGTGCCGCACGTGACTCCTGGTGATCTATCTTCCTGCGATATGGCATCTCCCTGTCTCTACTTGCTTCTCTGTACTGAGTTTGATTTAAAGCACCTTCTATACTGTTATATCGCTGTTAACATGACAAAGAAACTCCATTTATAAATGAGATTTGTCATTTAAAAAAATCATTTTATTAGGGGCTCATACAACTCTTATTACAATCCATATATGCATCAATTGCGTAAAGCACATTTGCACATTCATTGTCCTCATCATTCTCAAAACATTTGCTCTCCACTTAAACCCCTGGCATCAGTTCTTCATTTTCCCCTCTCCCTCCCTGCGCCCCCCTCCCTCATGAACCCTTGATAATTTATAAATTATTACTATTTTGTCATATCTTACACTGTCCGATGTCTCCCTTCACCCACTTTTCTGTTGTCTATCCCCCAGGGAGGAGGTTACATGTAGATCCTTGTAATTGGTTTCCCTTTTCCACTCCACCCTTCCTCTACCCTCCCAGTATCACCACTCTCAGCATTGGTCCTGAAGGGATCATCCGCCCTGGATTCCCTGTTTCCAGTTCCTATCTGTACCAGCGTACATCCTCTGGTCTAGCCAGATTTGCAAGGCAGAATTGGGATCATGAGAGTGGGTGGAGGAAGCATTGTCATTTCGTAATGATACATAAGGGTTACAGCACCCTGGTGGCAGTAGAAGGCATTTTACATTTGAGATGGGGTGAGAAAGAGGTAGACAGAAAACTTAAATGATTTTTAATGCTGGTCTTGTTTTTATGAATTTCCTTACCTTTATTTCTCCCTTGTATTTGAGGGATAATTTTGCAGATAAAGAATTCTTGGTAGACAACAGACAGTCTAAGACACAAAATAACAACAATAATATATAATTGATCAAGGATTCATGAAGGTGGGAAGTGTGGAAAGGAGGGGCAAAAAGAGGAGCTGATGCCAAGGGCTCAAGTAGAAAGAAAATGTTTTGGAAATGGTGACGGCAACATATGTACAAGTGTGCTTAATACTATTGAATGGTGGATTGTCATAAGATCTGTAAGAGCACCCCCCGCCAATAAAATGATTAATTGAAAAAAAATTCTTGCTTGGTGGTTTTTTTCTTTCAGAATTTTTTGCATGTCGCTCTGTTGTCTGCTTGCCTGCAAAGTTTCTGTTGAGAGGTGGAAACTTCTTCACGGCTTTCCTTTGTAGGTGACAGGTTTTTGATTTAGCCCTTTCGCTACCTTCAGGATTCTCTCCTTTTCCTTGAAATTGGACAGTTTGACTGTGAGACACCCTGGTGTTTTTCTCTTGGGATCTATCTATTGTCCCTGTAGATCATTATGTTTCTTCTTGTTCCAGGATCCCAGTGAGACATAGATTGTTTCTCTTGAGTGTGTCCCACCTCATTCTCAGGCTTATTCTGATTCCTTTGCTATTTTGGTTGATTGTGTCTCTTGTCAATTGTAGCCATAGTGATTGTCTTCGATCTCACCGATTCAGTTTTCCTTTTATTCTATTCTCTTCCTCAGGTCTTTGACTACGTTGTCCAATGTTTTTAATCTCGTTGTTTATCTTCTGGAATTCCTTTTGGTGTAAGGGTTTTAGTTTTCTAATTTCCTCCCTTGTTCTTGTGTGTTTTCTCCATCTCTTGAAAGAACTTAAACATCATTCTTCTGAAATTTTTTTCTGGTAGGTCCAGGGCATCTTCTTCAGAGTACTTTATTGGATTTGGGGGAGTTTTTGGTTGCTCGTATTTAATTTTCTTGATTTTTTTGGTGTTTATTGCACAGCTGTTAGTGGTGTGTGAGTGGCTGGGCCATGTAGATGTAACTGGCTCCATCTCGTGACATGGGAGTGGTCTAATAGATGAAAAATGTACAGTCGGTGAAGTGGAGAAGTGGGGAGAATGATGAGTAAGTGAGGACATTTGGTGGGGAGGGGAGAGAGTAAAATAAAGTAATGATTTTAATAAAAATACCTGTCTGGATAGCCTAACATTTATAAAACTAATGGGAAAATGTCTTATAGGAGGGGTAATCAGAATTAATGTTTCACAGAAATATATTTCATGACAAAAAGGAGAAATCAGAAAGAGATGATAGGTTGATAAGTGGAAACGGAGGCACAAACGAGACAAAAGAATTGAGTGTCTTTAGGTGCTGCGGTTTTTGCCATGGCAGTGTGAAGGTGGGTGTGCGGGATCTACAGGTGAGCCTGTGGTTTCCTGGGGGGAAATGCATATTCTCAGGATGGTGGGGTCACACCAGAAGGTGACACTGGAAGAAGTGGGAGAGAACTAGAAAAAAAAAGTATTATAATGAAACAGAAGTTCAGAAATTGAAAAAAAAAGTGTAAATAAAAGCGCTTGTAGGTGGGAATTCTTGCTCCTCTGGCAGTGCTATTGCATGGGGGAGGTGGGGTACATGGGGTGGGTGGGGGCGGGGAAGGAGAGACACCAGAGAAAACGTGAGCGTGGATCCTGGTTATGTCTGTCCAAGCTGTACACATGGCCTGCTATCTCCCAGGGTCCCCAGACATCAGTGGCTAAGAGGTTTGGCTGGCTGGGTTGCTTCAAGGGGCACCAAAAATGTTGACAATTCTGGGGAGGAGCGGAGCTCACAGAGCAGCTCATGCTGCTGGTCAGTGGTAAGGGGAGTCTGCCAGCAGACCTGGTTGCACACTCACTTTAAGACGCTTAGGTCTGCTTCGCTTTTGAGTTGCGTTTCTCACTGCTAAGAAGTGCAGGATAATCCCTGCTGGTGGAACCTCTCTGGTACTTGCTTTGCTTGCTAGTTGGTGGTCATATTTGAAGCTTTAGTGATTTGGAGACCTCTAGTGGACAGGGATTTTTGAAATTTTCTGCAATACTAATCTAAGGTATGCTCATGAAAGTACTTAAATTATTTAGGCTTTAGTCTTCTTTTGAAACAACTGTAGCTGTTTCACTGATAGCCATGAGGAGCTTGAGATCTGACCCTGGCTAACTGTTGCCCGAGCTGTTTTGAGTCATGCGGTATGTCTGTCCTGACTGGTGGAAGTAAGAGGCTTGCCAAGGATACATTCTGAGAATCAGGGGAGGGATTGAACTTGCTTGGCCGTGTGGGAGGAGCCTGAGCCTGAGCCGCATAGTGAAGGCAGGTGCAAAGACTGCTTTGTCGTATGTAGTGCCATACCTGACACCTTGTTCAGGGCCTTGTGTCCCCAGGAGACCTGGCTTATGTCAGTGACCTTTTATAGTGGTTTGTCCAGCACATGGATAGCATTTCCACGTGGAGTGATGGGCGTGGTAAAAGGGCACTATGCCTTAGTTAGGGAAAAGGGAAAAAAATGCTTTGGCGTATACGCTGCTTAGGGTGGTGCAATTGCCATTGGATTTAAATATGCATTAGGCAAAGTGTAGGGCAGGCACCAGTGCATCCAGAGGTTCACCTTCTAGCCCAGGATCACTTTGAAGCATTAGAGAGAAGAAAAAGTTTGGGCTAGGACTGAAAAATTGACATAGATTTAAAAACTGGCTTTGATATTTACTGCACGAGACTATACACTTTTTGAATTTTAGTTTCCTTGACTGTAAAACAAGAAAACAATAACCACTCTACAAGTTTCTTGTGGTGGAAGGTAGGACTAAGATAATGCTTAGAGAAGTTTTCTTTTTCTCTAACTTGACAACATTTTACCTCTATTTGACAGAGGGTATTTATATACGAGTATGTATATTTACTTTTGATGCAAATATATCCATGAATGTGGTGGGGTACACAGGGGACAAAGTTATGAAAACGTCTTAGAGATAACCGACCCCCTGGAGGAATGAGTCACTGGGCCTGGAGGGTCAGGAATAGCCTTGAGGGACACCCAGTTGGATTGGCATTGACATAGTTGGCAAAGACAGTGTTCTTCATCCTACTTTGGTGGGTAAGTTACTGGGGTCCTGAAAGCTCGGGAGTAACAACCCAAGGTACAACGATTGGTTCCTTCCCTGTCCAGTAGACGCATGGACCGCAAAAACATCAGTCTCCGCAACCCGGAGACCAGAAGAATTAGGCGATGCCCCACTTCCACTACCAACTGCTCCGAAAAGGATCACACTAGAAGGTCCTGGAAAGAGCGAGGGGAAAATGTAGAACAGAGCTCAAACCATAAAAGAGACAAGGCTGGCTGGTGAGAGAGAGACTGCTCGCACCTCCAAGACTATAGCCTTTAGTTTTCAGGCATGAGGCTGGGCTCACCTCTATGTTAGGAAAACGGCCGGTTTAAGATTAAAGTGTAGCATTTACCTCAGGACAAAGTTCAGAGGGTTCAGGAAAGAGGGAGGCGTGGACAGGAAATACAGGGAGGAAGTGGGATAAGGGAGTGTACATTGGATGAGCTGAATCAGAATGTGTATGAAATTGTCGATTGTAATCCTATGATCTGCTCACTAAATCTTCACCTAATTCACAATAAAAAGCTTAAAAAAGTAAGTGGCAGTAGAGTTCAGTTCAAAATATTTCTTTGATTATAAGCTGCCTTAATTTTCCTTCTAGGGTTGACAACTTTGGCCTGGGCCTTTTACTTCAATCCAAGCAGATAAAACGCATGATTTCTTCATATGTGGGAGAAAATGCAGAATTTGAACGTCAATACTTAGCTGGTGAATTAGAAGTAGAGCTGACACCTCAGGTGAGATGGTTTTCTGATGCTAGAAAAACTGCTTTTTATTTATATACTTACTATAATCCTAACTTATTTGAATTAAAAAAATTCTCTAGAAATGCCTTTGTGCAAGGTATATCCGACAATGAGGGTGCTGCGATGCCACACCAGGGCATTTTATTTGTTGGTCAAACTCGTTGCTTTGTAAGAGGGTGTGTAAGGCCAGGTTGACCAGAGAAACAAACCCAGACACTAATATGTGTGTAAGAGAGAATTCTACTTCAGGAAGTAATTATGCATCAATAAAACATCCCAGCCAAGTCCATATCAACAAGTCCATAAGATTGCTATGAACCCATAAATCCGATATTAGCCTATGAATTCCTCTCCAGACTTACGCAGCACATGCAATGATGTCAAATGCAGGAAGATCACTGGCTGGTGGGTGGAAAGTTCTGTGGGTCCAATGACAGTGGCTGCATCTCCAGGACTCTGACTGCCATCAGCGTGGCTCCGTGTGGCTTGTCAACAGGGATGTGAAACAGAGAGAGAGGCCCGCTTCTTCCGATGGCAGGATCAAGAGAGAGAGGAACTTCCCATAATCCTCATGAGCAGACCATGCTCACAAAGAAGCAACATCGGGCTGTGACATGATTGACAGGCTAGACTCCACCCCTTCACTCTGTATTAAGTTGACACTAGATAATATAACTACCACAGAGGGTTATTTTCTGCCACTCTATACAGAGAAAGGAGATACTTCTGGTAAAAATATCTAGGCGACAGGGTACATTTTAAAGTCTGGCTTTACAGCGCATATTGTGATGGAGGTATTCAAGAGGAGCTGCTGAAATGCTTCCGAATTGCCCTGATAGCTTCTCCAGATCACAGAATGTTTGAAAGGGAGGCTTTTTTGGACTGATCAGGTCTTGCTCGCTCACCCCTTACATTTTAGGAGGTAAAGCTCCTGGTAGTTAAAGCACCACTGCTGCTCTGGCTCTGGCCTCAGAGCCCAGGTCCCCAAAGAACTGATTTTGGGACACTGAAGTAGCAAGTTCCCACTGTTTTTTTTTTTAATATTAGCTCCTAACTGAGTGAAGAGTTTGTGTGACGCCTTTTGAGTAAGTTTTATTCGTATATTTGGTAGTTAAATCACAGTGTATGTTCACCTAAAGGATTCCTGGTCGTGTAGTGGGTGCACGCTGGGCTGCTGACCAGGTCAGGGTTCTAAAGCACCAGCTGCTGTGTGAGAGAAAGGTGATGCTTTCTCCTCCTGGGAAGAGTGCGCAGTCTCAGAAGCCCTCCCCGGCGGTTCTGCCCGGTCCTATGGGGTCACTTTGAATCTGATGGGCTCAATGGCAGTGAGTTTCGTTTCGTTTTGTTTTCTTTTTGGTATCCTGGCCTACAGGAACCCTGGTAGCGCAGGATTTAAGTTCTCAGCTGCTAACCCAGAGGTTGTTGGCTCAAACGTCCATTGGGAGGAGCACCTGGTAATGTACAGGCATAAAGGTGACCGACAAGAAAACTGCCCGGGGCAGTTCTGCTCTGTCACATGAGGTTGCTATGAGTGACAGTTGACTCGGTGTTAACAACAACAACAACAACAACAATGTCAAGAATGTGCTTGAGAGAATTGTTTTTTTCTCACTGGAGACCTCATGACATCACTCACAATCAGACCAGGATGTTCGGCAGCTTTTGTGCTCCCCATGCTTGGTATACATCCAGTTTCCATTCGAAGTCTTTTGGAGGGAAAATCTTTTCCTCTGCACAATAGAGGTCAAGATATCTTCTCCTGAGTGTTGTGGAGCTAGTGAACGTGAACTTTTCAGTTACCTTTTGTATTTCTTGAATGGCGTCTTATTTTGTCAGGGGTCATAAGCAAGGGAGAACGTCCTTATTATTATCATTTATGTTCTTTCTTTACACTGAAAGAGGCCACTGTCTCTCTCTCCAACCTGGTGCCTCTTCAATACACCTTGACTCTGGCAGCTTGCGTTGCAGCCTCAGAGCTAGGGCGGGCGGGCGGTGTTGGGGAAGGGATGGAGGGCGGCTGGGAGCTCAGGGAGCCCCGAACAAACCTGCCTGAGAAACTACTCAGCTTTCATGCTTTTGTCAAAAAGAAAAAGAAGGAGTGAAGTATTCAGGGAGGGCAGGAATGAAAAATACTTTAAAGTAGGGGGTATTTTTTGGTTGTTTCAGTTACTTAATTTTTAGAAACTGTTAATAACAAAATATACCCATAACACAAAGTAGAGTTACCCCTCTCTGTTATAGAGACCAGAGAGCCAGTTCTCTGGAGGTTTTCTTATACGTCACAAGTCTTTCCAAGACTATCCCAGCGACCTTCAGGTTCTTAATCCTCCCGTTAAGTTAAGCATTTCACTTAGTTAAATGAAACTTTCAGCCAGCTGAAATGGCTGTTATTCAAATTTATGCACCAACAACTAATGCCAAAATGAGGAAATTGAATATTTTTTACCAACTTCTGCAGTTTTGAATTGGTTAAACATGCAATAAAAAAGCATTGATGAGTACTGGTTTTTGGAATGCAATAACTGGAAACAAAGAGGAAGGCTTAGTCTCTGGAAAATAAGGCTTTGGGGATACAAGTGATGCTGGGCATCGCATGGTCGAATTATGCAAGTTCAAGGACTCCTCCATTACAAATGCCCTTTCTCAGCAACATAGATGGTAGCTACGCATGTCGCCTTTGCCAGATGGAATATATAGGAAACAAATTGACTGTATCCATGGACGGAGATGCTAGAGAAACTCAGATTCATCAGTCAGAACAGGCCAGGGATCGGCTGTAGAACAGCCCATCGATTGCTAACTCGCAAGTTCTATTTGAAGCTGACGAAAATTCGAACAAGTTTACAACAGCCAAAGTGCAACCTGGAGTATGTCCCACCTGAATTCGTGGACCATCTCCAGCTCAGATTTGACATATTGAACCCTAATGATTGAAAACCAGATAAACTGTGGAATGATTTCAGAAACATCATATGTGACGAATAATCCTGATACCGCACTCTTATTTATGTACTGTAGCTTCTTATTGACAACCTGTGATATGCAGATGACACAACCTTGCTTGCTGACAGTGAGGAGGACTTGAAGCACTTGTTGATGAAGATCCGGGATTGCTGCCTTCAGTATGGATCACAACTCAGTGTCATGAAAACCCAAATCCTCACAACTGGATCAGTAGGTAGCATCATGCTAAATGTCGGAAAAGATGGGAGTTGTCAAGGATTTCATCTTGCTTGGATTCACAACTGGTGCTCATGGAAGGAGCAAATCCAGAGATCAAAAGACGTATTGCATCAGGTAAAGCTGCTTCCCAAGACCTCTTTAAAGTGTTGAAAAGCAAGGAGGTTACTTTGAGTACTGAAGAGCACCTGACCCAAGTGATAGCATTTTCAATCGCTTCCTATGTGTGTGAAAGCTGGGCATTGACTAAAGAAGACGGATGAAAACCAATCCGTGCGTTTGAACGATGGTGCTGGCAGAGAAGACTGAAAGTGCTGTGGACTGCCAAAAGAACAAATATCTCTGTCTTGGGAGAAGTGCAGCCAGAATGCTCCTTAGGGGTGAGAATAGTGAGACTTCATCGCACGTGCTTTGGACATGCCATCAGGAAGGACCCGTCCCCGGAGAAAGACCGCATGCTTGGTAAGGTGCAGGGCAACGAAAAAGGGCCTCGACAAGATGGATTGGCACAGCGGCTGAACAATGGGCCGAGGCGTGAGAACCACTGTCGTAGAGAGTGGCTAGGGAGAACCAACTCGACGGCACCTCATAATTAGGACAACAGCGTGAAGAGAGTGATACAGGAAGAAAACGAGCAAACAAAAAATATAGGAAGAGACGACCAAGAGGGATGTCGCACAATAGTCTGCAGCTTTCAAAATGTGGAATAGCTGTTGTGAAAAGAAGAAATAATGAAGTAAAAGAGCTGAACAGAAAAGTGCAAAGGCAGGCTTCACGAGAAAAAGTAAAGTATCATTATAGATTGCGCAAAGACCTAGAGTTAGAAAACCACAAAGAAAGAAGATGCTTCCGTTCAAAGAACTGAAGAAAAGAGTCAAGCCTCAAATTCAACATTGAAGGATTCTGTGGATGAAATTTGGAATGATTCTCGCTCTCTGCCATTGAGTCCATTTTGACTCATGGCAACCCACTAGGACAGGACAGACTGCCCCTGTGGGTTTTCAAGACTACAGCTGTTTTCTGGAGTAGAAAGCCTCATCTCTCCCCACAGAGCAACTCGCGGTTTCCTTGCAGTTAGCAGCCCATCAGTCACCAGTAAACCACCAGGATTCCTTATTGGATAATACAGAAAGATGGAAGAAATACACAGGTTCACAATACCAAAAATAGTTAGTTGAGGTTCAACTATTTCAGGAGGTAGACTATGAGCCCATCTGTGTTGAAAGAAGTCCAGTCAGAATGCCCCTAAGAAATGACAATGAAGAGACTTCCTCTCATGTCCTTTGGACATGCCATCAGGAAGAACCAGTCTTAGTGAAAGAGGGTCACTTCAGAGGAATGTGCTGATTGACACAGTGACCGTTATATTGGGCGCAGACATAGGAGTGATGATGGAGATGCTGCAGCACCGGGCAGTGTTTCATTGGGTGGTGCATTGGATCTCTCTGAATCAGAACCGACTTGATGGCACCTAACAGTAGCAGATAGGAGAGTGTTCCTGGGTGGCACAAGTGATCAAGCATCAGCTACTAACTGAAAGGTTGGTGGTTTGAATCTAAGCAGAGGCGTCTTGGCAGAAAGATATGGTGATATGGTTCGGAAAGGTTGAAACCAATGAAAGCCTTCTAGAATTCTATTCTACTCTGCAATACAAGGGGTTCACATGAGCCAGGATTTATTGAACAGCAACTGGTGGGATGTTTGTGGTTTAGATAGTAGAGGCCATGTGTGGAATGGTTTTTGTGTCTTCCACGCAGAAGTATGCATGATTAGATTAAAATACACACACACACACACACACACACACACACACACACACACTTTCTATTGTGGATTTAGGTAAAGGTTTCTAGAGCACCTTCCATTGTCTTAATTGTGTTCCCATCATTCTGTCCCGTCTCCTGCTTCTTAGATAGCGTCTTCCCTTCCAGATACCCCCCCACCTCCCCACCCAGCCTGTGATTTTCCCCTAACTCCCTCCTCTGATTCTTTGCGTGTGAACACATAATTGATTTTTTATATTGCTCTTTCCCTTTCCCACTTGTAGGGCACACTTGCAGAGAGGATTCGTGCAGGTGGGGCTGGAGTTCCTGCATTTTACACCAGCACAGGGTATGGGACCTTGATACAAGAAGGAGGGTCACCAATCAAATACAACAAAGATGGCAGTGTCGCCATTGCCAGCAAGCCAAGAGAGGTAAGACCCACTTTCATCCAGGTAGCATGGGGAGGTTTCTTTTAGGTTTCTGGGTGGACTCATTGGGTGAAAAAATAGAAACTCACCTTTACACAATGCAAGGTGAAATTTTATGAAAAATACACAACCCATGCTAGAAATTAACATCACGAAACTAAGCTCTAGAAAAATTAGAAAAATAAACAAGAAAGGGAACTAATCCATATACGATGTGCATGTTCAGCTTGGTTATTTTATAGCAGATTTTAAATAAATTCAGGTGTATTAAACTCATCTGGGAAACAAAATAGCTATATAGGATTAAACTGTTAATGGACAAGCTTCTTCTGTGTGCAAGTGAGAAAGAAAGGAAGTCATAAGTTTGTCTACAATTTCCAAAAGCAGAGAACAGCAATCCTTACATGAAAAAATATGTAGAGAGTCCACACTTAACCACTTTCCTTCATCCTGTGTTACCCTTCAGCTTCCCACTTAACCTGCTTTTATGTAAAGTACTGGGTAGGATCAGGTGTCTTCATTATAGGCAACTACCCTTGCCTGTTGAAGGCGACTTGGCTAGACTGCTGTCAGGTGTTAACTTGGGTGGGTAAGGGTAAAGGGTGAAGGGGTGGTTAGTGAGTAGTTTAAACTGTTGAATGTGAAGTTTATGATCTGAAATACAAATCACCACGTAACGTATAATAAGAAGTTGTTATAAAAAATAAAGTCTCCCCTTTAGAAAATAAGGGCAATGTGTACATTGCCTAGTAACCAAGTATCTTGGCTGGCAGAGTGGAAGACATCAGTGTCCGGCTCAGAGGGCCTGTGCAGCCGACTAACCCGTGTGTGTCTCCCCAGTTTGGGCAATAGTCTAATCTCCCACGTCAGACTTCTTCATCTTCTGGCTCTCCCATTTCAGGGCTCTGAGCCATATCTATATATTTTTTTCCCATTGTGGTTATAGTTCTGGCTCACCCATATTTTACAACTTCAGGTCTGTTCCAATTTTCTCTGGCAGCCATGACTGAACTAGTTAAAACTAGTTTGGAGACCCTGTGTAGACTTAACAGGAAATCATGTAACTAGAATAGGGGAAAAACAAAACAAGGCAACCCAGACTTCAGTTTTTTGACCTTGCCCGGGAACAGCATATATTTAGTTTTCTAGATCTGTACCGAAAACACTCAACTGTCATCATTGGTGTTTACAGTAATGACTTTGAAGTACTTAAGATGTTAAAAATAAGTGATAACATATGTGGATAGGCAGCTTATAAATGTTTCATACAATTTATCTGAGTTATATTAATAAGATCCTCATTCATCAAAGATTCCCTAAGTTCATCTTTTCTAGCAGGGGAGTAGGATAATGCCTTTTAAAAAGCCTTCTGTAATGCACAGTCTCCCCACGAGGGGGTGCAGTAGGTCTTAGAATGGCGTTCTCCCTTCAGATCCACGATCCGA